ATCATGCGACCACACAACCCAGATCATGTGACCACACAGCCCAGATCATGCGAACACACAACCCAGATCATGCGAACACACAACCCAGATCATGCGAACACACAACCCAGATCATGTGACCACACAGCCCAGATCATGCGAACACACAACCCACATCATGTGACCACACAACCCAGATTATGTGATCACACAACCCAGATCATGTGATCACACAACCCAGATCATGTGACCACACGGCCCAGATCATGTGACCACACGACCCAGATCATGTGACCACACAACCCAGATCATGTGACCACATAACCCAGATCATGTGACCACACAACCCAGATCATGTGACCACACAACCCAGATCATGTGACCACACAACCCACATCATGTGACCACACAACCCAGATCATGTGACCACATAACCCAGATCATGTGACCACACAACCCACATCATGTGACCACACAACCCAGATCATGCGACCACACAACCCAGATCATGTGACCACACAACCCACATCATGTGACCACACAACCCACATCATGTGACCACACAACCCAGATCATGTGACCACACAGCCCAGATCATGCGAACACACAACCCACATCATGTGACCACACAACCCAGATCATGCGACCACACAACCCAGATCATGTGACCACACAACCCAGATCATGTGACCACACAACCCAGATCATGTGACCACATAATCCAGATCATGTGACCACACAACCCAGATCATGTGACCACACAGCCCAGATCATGTGACCACCCAGCCCAGATCATGTGACCACACAATCCAGATCATGCGACCACACAACCCAGATCATGTGACCACACAGCCCAGATCATGTGACCACACAGCCCAGATCACGTGACCACACAACCCAGATCACGTGACCACACAGCCCAGATCATGTGACCACCCAGCCCAGATCATGTGACCACACAACCCAGATCATGTGACCACACAACCCAGATCATGTGACCACACAGCCCAGATCATGTGACCACACAACCCAGATCATGTGACCACACAACCCAGATCATGTGACCACACAACCCAGATCATGTGACCACACAGCCCAGATCATGTGACCACACAGCCCAGATCATGTGACCACACAACCAAGATCATGTGACCACACAGCCCAGATCATGTGACCACACAACCCAGATCATGCGATCACCCCCCCTCCCCGCCCCAACTCTGCGTACGGTGCTAAAGAAATTACACACATGTACGCACGTGTGTATTCTTGCTTCGCCCCGTCGCACTCTCGCGTTCGCGCGCCACAGGCTGCATGCGCACACTCTGCACTTGGATACCCGACACACGCGCGCGCAGTTTGTCTGTCGCAATGAAAACACCTCCAGTCGCACGCCACACTTGCATACGTTCAAGAGCGGTGGGTAGAGGCACACGCGCACGATGCACAGCAGTTACACAGCCGAGGGCTGGTGGACAACTCGCTCCGAGTATTACAGCCACGGTTTGCACGCGGAATTACCACTCAAGGATGATGATGATGATCATTCTTATTCAGTTTCCGACACCGTGAGATCCAAAGCAACGTGAAATTCTCTCGCCATTGATAACGACCGCGAGCGTGACCCTAATATTGCCGCAGCATCGGGTAAGCAATTTGGGCATTTTTTATAGGACATGGGGCGATGCATTCTTGTGGCAAATGTCACCAAGAGAAGGTGGTTGCGATGGGTGGGACGTGTGTCTGTGTGTGTCTGTGTGTGTGTGTCTGCCTGTGTGTGTCTGTGTCTGTCTGTGTGTGTGTCTGTGTGTGTATGTGTGTGTGTGTCTGTGTGTGTCTGTGTGTGTGTCTGTGTGTGTGTCTGTGTGTGTGTGTCTGTGTGTGTGTCTGTGTGTGTCTGTGCGTGTGTATGTGTGTGTGTGTCTGTGTGTGTGTATGTGTGTGTGTCTGTGTGTCTGTGTGTGGTCTGTGTGTCTGTGTGTGTGTATCTCTGTGTGTGTGTCTGTGTGTGTGTTTGTGTCTGTGTGTGTGTCTGTGTATGTATATGTGTGTGTGTCTGTGTGTGTCTATGTGTGTGTGTGTCTGTGTGTGTCTGTGTCTGTCTGTGTGTTTGTCTGTGTGTGTGTATGTGTGTGTGTGTCTGTGTGTGTCTGTGTGTGTGTGTGTGTGTCTGTGTGTGTGTGTCTGTGTGTGTGTGTCTGTGTGTGTCTCTGTGTGAACAGCTTCAATGGGGACAGCCGCCTCGCAGGAGCAGCCAGCTGTCCGCTGCGACCCACGGGGAAGGGGCCTCGGGAGCAAGTCGCTGGTGGCGATCATGATGATGATGACGATGAGACAGTTTTGAACGCTGGCGGAGGTCGTGTTTTACGCTGTGGCGCGGTGACGTGATGTGGCAGAAGGAAAGACGCAAATGGCCAAGCGGTGGTGGCATTCGCGTGATGATTTTTTCGCGAGGGAGGGGTGAATTTTGATCTTTCATTACCCACAAAAATGCGTTACGAGATTCAGTCGAAATCCCAACCGACACGAATCAATGTTTTTATTATTCCGAGTAATAGTTGAAGATGACAACTTGAACTTCTATCTTGAATCTTCATCTAATCTAATAACCGCCCCCCCCCCCCATAATCCTAGCGAGCGACCACGACCGCTCGCGCACTCGAAGTGTTTCTCCCACCACCGAATCCTCGCTGCGCGTTGCTCTTCTCCATTGGAGGCGCGTGAGAGTTCGAGTTGAAAATTGAGAGTTCGAGTTGACGTCCGACGTTTCGTCGCACGTGCCACGGGAGCTTCTCGAGTTCCGACGCGGAGCGATCACGCGCACGCCGCGTCGAGCACGCGCGCGGTGACCCCGCGACTCGGTGACGCGTCCCCCCTCCCCCTCCCCCCGGGGGCCATCCTCGTGGTGCTCGACGTCGCTCGGTCCTCGGCCACCGCCGCCTGTGGTGTTACGCAAGACGCGGCCCTGAGACGCCCCAACTCGCGTGGTCAACGCGCGGACAACTTTCCGCGTCCCGTCTGCAGCCCGACCGCACCGGGCGGACGGCGGCGGCGTCTTGAAGCGGCGAGAATTGTCCCGAGGCGCCGGGGCGAGGTCGCGAGAGCCCGGCATGGCCACTCCACCACCAGCAACACTCGCGAGGCCACTCCACACATCCACCAGCAACACTCGCGAGGCCACTCCACACATCCACCAGCAACACTCGCGAGGCCACTCCACACATCCACCAGCAACACTCGCGAGGCCACTCCACACATCCACCAGCAACACTCGCGAGGCCACTCCACACATCCACCAGCAACACTCGCGAGGCCACTCCACACATCCACCAGCAACACTCGCGAGGCCACTCCACACATCCACCAGCAACACTCGCGAGGCCACTCCACACATCCACCAGCAACACTCGCGAGGCCACTCCACACATCCACCAGCAACACTCGCGAGGCCACTCCACACATCCACCAGCAACACTCGCGAGGCCACTCCACACATCCACCAGCAACACTCGCGAGGCCACTCCACACATCCACCAGCAACACTCGCGAGGCCACTCCACACATCCACCAGCAACACTCGCGAGGCCACTCCACACATCCACCAGCAACACTCGCGAGGCCACTCCACACATCCACCAGCAACACTCGCGAGGCCACTCCACACATCCACCAGCAACACTCGCGAGGCCACTCCACACATCCACCAGCAACACTCGCGAGGCCACTCCACACATCCACCAGCAACACTCGCGAGGCCACTCCACACATCCACCAGCAGCACTCGCGAGACGAGGCCACTCCACACATCCACCACCAACACTCGCGAAACGCGGCCACTCCACCACATCCACCACCAGCACTCGCGAGGCCACTCCACACATCCACCACCAACACTCGCGAAACGCGGCCACTCCACCACATCCACCACCAGCACTCGCGAGGCCACTCCACACATCCACCACCAACACTCGCGAAACGCGGCCACTCCACCACATCCACCACCAGCACTCGCGAGGCCACTCCACACATCCACCACCAACACTCGCGAAACGCGGCCACTCCACCACATCCACCACCAGCACTCGCGAGGCCACTCCACACATCCACCACCAACACTCGCGAAACGCGGCCACTCCACCACATCCACCACCAGCACTCGCGAGGCCACTCCACACATCCACCACCAACACTCGCGAAACGCGGCCACTCCACCACATCCACCACCAGCACTCGCGAGGCCACTCCACACATCCACCACCAACACTCGCGAAACGCGGCCACTCCACCACATCCACCACCAGCACTCGCGAGGCCACTCCACACATCCACCACCAACACTCGCGAAACGCGGCCACTCCACCACATCCACCACCAGCACTCGCGAGGTGACGGCCACTCCACCACGGCGCCGTCATGCAGGCGACAGTGTCCACATGGGCAACATTCGCAAGCGCGTGGGGGGGGGGGGTGATGGGGTTGGGGGGGGGTGATGGGGTTGGGGGGGGGCGATGGGGTTGGGGGGGGGCGATGGGGTTGGGGGGGGGTGATGGGGTTGGGGGGGGGCGATGGGGTTGGGGGGGGGCGATGGGGTTGGGGGGGGCGATGGGGTTGGGGGGGGGTGATGGGGTTGGGGGGGGGTGATGGGGTTGGGGGGGGGTGATGGGGTTGGGGGGGGGCGATGGGGTTGGGGGGGGGCGATGGGGTTGGGGGGGGGCGATGGGGTTGGGGGGGGGTGATGGGGTTGGGGGGGGTGATGGGGTTGGGGGGGGGTGATGGGGTTGGGGGGAGGCGATGGGGTTGGGGGGGGGGCGATGGGGTTGGGGGGGGGCGATGGGGTTGGGGGGGGGTGATGGGGTTGGGGGGGGGTGATGGGGTTGGGGGGGGGCGATGGGGTTGGGGGGGGGGCGATGGGGTTGGGGGGGGGTGATGGGGTTGGGGGGGGTGATGGGGTTGGGGGGGGGGCGATGGGGTTGGGGGGGGGGTGATGGGGTTGGGGGGGGGCGATGGGGTTGGGGGGGGGCGATGGGGTGGGGGGTGTTGCCGAGGTAAAGGGCGGCCAGTCACAATCAGTCATCTCCCGGCACGCTGACGCGAGCGCGGGGAGCAGCGGTGCTCAGCTCCGTTCGGTTGGAAATTCCACATTTCTTCGGCAGAAGTCAAGTCCCTCTGCAGGGCAAACAGTCGATTTGACTCGCCGCTAAGTGGCTCTCTCTTGTTTAATGACCACCTTAGGGATGATGGTGGTGGTGGTGGTGATTGATTACGAAGGGCTGGAAATCTCCCCCCCCCCCCACCTCTTCCCCAGCGGGGATGTGAACCCGCAGCCTCTCCACCGTGCGTGGAGCACTTCCCCGACACGAGCGGCGCCGTCCGGACGGATGACGAGGAGCTGCCTCGGTGGCAAATGTCCGTTTCTCGATTCACAATCCTCCAATCGCTCCTTCCCACGCTCACGAGACAGACGGAGCCATCCATCCGGCGATCGGCCTCGCTTCCGTTGCGTCTCCTCTGTGTCGGCGCAGCAGTCGGAGTGAAGCTCACGCGTGGCAACTGTTCGCTCGTTCCTCTCTTGCTGCCTTCCAGTCGTTAACTCGCCCATTCCCGTCCGCCAGCAAAGATGCATCTCTCTTCACCACCACCACCACGAGTCGATCGGCGGCTCGCGCGCGGTGGGGTCGACGCGTGGCTGCCCCTCACCCCTTCAAAGGCGTGGAAGGAAGAGCTGAAGAGCGGGGGGGGGGGGGGAGAGGGGAGAGGGGAGAGGGGAGGCACTCGCGAGCTCCCTCTTCGTGGAGACCGTTCCACCGGCAGTGGCCGAGAGCGAGCGCCTGCAGGGCTGCGCCTTTGACCCCGTGCCTCTCACGTGTGCGGTGTGCTGTGTGCGGTGTGCTGTGTGCGGTGGTGTACGTTGTGCGGTGTGTGTGGTGTGTGCGGTGGTGTGCGGTGTGCGGAGTCGGTGTGCGCTGTGTGCGCTGTGTGCGGTGGTGTGCGGTGTGCGGAGTTGGTGTGCGGAGTCAGTGTGCGGGGTGCGCTGTGCGGTGTGTGCGGTGTCTGCGCTGTGCGGTGTGCGCTGTGCGGTGTGCGCTGTGCGATGTGTGCGGTGTGTGCGGTGTGTGCGCTGTGCGGTGTGCGCTGTGCGGTGGGTGCGTTGTGTGCGGTGTGTGCGGGTTCAACTGCTTGCGTGCGGGATTCGACAAAAGTGGCGCTGCTCAATCAGAGAGGACGTCGCGCGTCTCGGCCAGACTCCGCGAAAATGTCAACAACAACAACAACAAGCCGGTTCAATAGCGGCTCCATTGGAATTCGATCGCCGTGCCCTTTCTGCGCGCGGTTGTGTGCGTGTTGTGTGTGTGTGTTGTGTGTGTGTTGTGTGTGTGTGTTGTGTGTGTGCGTGTTGTGTGTGTTGTATGTGTGTGGTGTGTTGTGTGTGTTGTGTGTGCGTGTTGTGTGTTGTGTGCGTGTTGTGTGTGTTGTGTGTGTGTTGTGTGTGTTGTATGTGTGTGGTGTGTGTGTTGTGCGTGTTGTGTGTGTGTGCGTGTTGTGTGTTGTGTGTTGTGTGCGTGTTGTGTGTGTTGTGTGTGTTGTGTATGTGCGTTTTGTGCGTGTTGTGTGCGTGTTGTGTGTGTGTGTTGTGTGTGTGTTGTGTGTGTGTTGTGTGTGCGTGTTGTGTGTGTGTTGTGTGTGTGTGTTGTGTGCGTGTTGTGTGTGCGTGTTGTGTGTGTGTTGTGTGTGTGTGTTGTGTGTGCGTGTTGTGTGTGTGTTGTGTGTGTGTGTTGTGTGTGTGTTGTGTGTGTGCCCCTAGACGCGTGTGTGTCCGTGTGTGTTTTGTTTGCGTGCGATGCAATGAACGACGGCGGCGTGAACAATGGACGCAGCGTACGTCCCAGCGCGTCTCGGTCGGTGTGGAAGAGGAGGCCAAAACACCCTCTACCTGGCGCAGGCTCCTGCCGCCAGCAGTGCCGCGAGCGAGACGTTTCAGGGCTGCGCCTCTAACTTGGTCCATCGCTGCAGCGGCGCGCGCGCGTTTCCCGAGCCCAGCACTACAGCAGCTTCCCATTCACCTCGTCCTTGTGGTGATGGTGATGATGATCTGCGAGTCGTACCGTGGTGCCCCTGCCCCAACCCTCGCTCTCCCAGCGTCCTAACGCAGTGGCCGCGACCGCCTCGCTGTTGTCAAGGCGTCTCGAGGTGCCGGTGGCATTGCAGGAGGCCGCGTGGCGCCCGTGGCAGTGAGAGTGGCGCTGCTCTTGATGGCGTCGTTGGTGGCTTTGGGTTTTGTCTGCGTATGGGAATTGTTGATGGCACGTAGTTCACACACGCCGTGACCTCGAAGTTTCACTTCCCAGGAAATCCACTTAATTGGTAATCAATATCTGACCCCCCCCCCCCATGCCCTATCCCGGGCCACTCATAGGTAGACTCAGCCTTAAATGATAATCTGTGAACATCAACAACAGGGAGGGGGGGCGTTCGGTCCTGCTGGCAACTCCAACAACACCAAAGACAAAGCTCCCCGGTATAGTCTGAAGAGACTGCCGGGGCAAGTGCTGTTAGCGAGCCCCTAGTGAAGGCCGGCACGGCGCACGAGGGGTCGGGTGGCCAACACCGCGCCCGGTCGCCTTTGTCTCACCCAGTGGCGACGTTTACAACACCGCACTAGGTACTCATTTGACGCTGAGTCGACCTAAGGGAGGGCCCCATGACCAGTTCAGATAATCGTCACAGGTGTTGCCCGCGAGCGGGAATCGAACCCCGGGTCGCCGTGCTTCGTGGCGCACTGCGCTCGCCGCTACCCCACCACGACCATCACCACCACCACGACCACCACCACCACGACCACCACCACCACCACGACTACCACCACCACGACCACCATCACCACGACCACCACGACCACCACCACCACGACCACCACCACCATGACCATCACCACCACGACCACCACGACCACCATCACCACGACCACCACGACCACCACCACCACCACCACCACCACCACCACCACGACCATCACCACCACCACCACCACGACCACCACCACCACCACGACCACCACCACCACGACCACCATCACCACGACCACCACGACCACCACCACCACGACCATCACCACCACCACCACCACGACCACCACCACGACCACCACCACCACGACCACCTCCACCACCATTGTGTCTGTGTGCCTCGTCAGTGTTGACTGTCACAAGCACTTCTTCCGATGAGCTCTACGGCTAAGTTGTTTGTGTCCTTGAATATCCTTGAACATCGGCGTTGGGGAGACAAAGGCGGCCGGGCGTGGAACTGGCCACCCCACCCCCTCGAGTGCCGTGCCGGCTTTCATAGGTGCTCGCGAACAGCACTTGCCCCAACAGCCTGTCAAGGCTATACGGGGGACCTTTGTCTGTTGCTCACATGTATTGTGTGCCTACGTGTGCGCACACGCGTGTAATTGTGGATGTCTGCATCGTGACCGCACGCGTGTTGACATGCGTGTGCGTGCGTCTGTGGGCACTGCTGGGGGCTCCTAACACAGCACGCAATTATGTACACGCTGAATATTTAATGGACAATTCATAAAACGCTTCCATCGTCACTGCTGCCACTACGTGATCGCAATCCCAACCACGAGCCACTGCCCCTCAGCCCAATGGACGTCTTCTCTCTCATCCTCCTCCTGCTGCTCCTGCTGCTGCTGCTGCTCGCGTGCCGGGTCCGCATCACAGCGGGAAGACGAGGAACCCGGAGAAGGTGGAGAACTTCCACCCGCCCGTGAGCGTGCCCCGCTCCAGCTTGAGGTGCACGCGGTGGCCCTTGTCCATGGAGAGGAGGACCCCGTTGCTCGCCGCCTCTCTGGTCACGTCCTGGTCTCCGGCGAAGGCCGAGATCACCGCCCAGCCGTTCATCACGAGCGCCACCTTTGTCGTGGGCGGTGGGTGAGGGTGCGTGGGTGGTGGTGGTGGGTGAGGGTGGGTGGGTTGGTGGGTGGGTAGGGGTGGGTGGGTGGGTGGGTGAGGGTGGGTGGGGGTGGGTGTGGGTGGGTGAGGGTGGGTGAGTGTGGGTGGGTGAGGGTAGATGGGTGAGGGTGCGTTGGTGGTGGTGGTGGTGGGTGAGGGTGGGTGGTGGTGGTGGTGGGTGGGTGGGTGGGTGAGGGTGGGTGGGGGTGGGTGGGTAGGGGTGGGTGGGTGGGTGGGTGAGGGTGGGTGGGTGGGTGGGTGGGTGTGGGTGTGGGTGGGTGAGGGTGGGTTGGGGTGGGTGGATGAGGGTGGGTGGGTGGATCAGGGTGGGGGTGGGTGAGGGTGGGTGAGGGTGGGTGAGGGTGGATGGGTGGGGGTGGATGAGGGTGGGTGGGTGAGGGTGGGTGGGTGGGTGGGTGAGGGTGGGTGGGGGTGGGTGTGGGTGGGTGAGGGTGGGTGGGTGAGGGTGGGTGGGGGTGGGTGTGGGTGGGTGAGGGTGGGTGGGTGAGGGTGGGTGGGTGAGGGTAGATGGGTGAGGGTGCGTTGGTGGTGGTGGTGGGTGAGTGGTGGTGGGTGGTGGTGGGTGGGGGTGGGTGGGTGAGGATGGGTGAGGGTGGGTGGGTGAGGGTGGGTGAGGGTGAGGGTGGGTGAGGGTGGGTGAGGGTGGGTGGGTGAGGGTGGGTGAGGGTGAGGGTGGGTGAGGGTGGGCACACACACAGCACCCCACACAGCGCCGCGCGTTCGTCAGGCGCGGCCGTGTGGCCACTGGTCGCTCTCTCGCGCCTCCCAATTGGCACACAAAGACAAAGATCCCCCGTGTAGCCTTAACAGACTGTTGGGGCAAGTGCTGTTAGCGAGCAGCACCTTTGAAGACCGGCACGGCGCACGAGGGGGGTGGGTGGCCAGCACCACGCCCGGCCGCCTTTGTCTCCCAAGTGGAAATGCTCACACATCGCACCAGGTACTCATTTGAGACTGAGTCGACCTAGGGGAGGCCCAGGACCGGTTCAGATAATCGTCACCAGTGTTGGCCGTGAGCGGGAATCGAACCCGGGTCGCCAGGTTCGTAGCTCAGCGTAGCGCTAATCGCTGCACCACCGCTCCCCATGGAAGTTCAACAGACACACACAAGGACACGTTCTCGATGGGGGAAACTAAAATAAACCATTCGGCTCCAGCCTACCCGGTAAGAATACAGGAGGCGTTAACTTGGTCAAACACCGCATCGAAGACACCGACGACTGCACAAGGCATCATCATCATCATCTCCGATGAGCGTGGCTGGCTACGTACGGTGCGAACGAAGTTCACCGTACATACCATTGATACTGGCAATCAAAGGGTCCCCATAGAGATTTGTATTCGTATTTATTTTGTTGTTGTTGTTGTTGCTGCCGTTGTTGTTGTTGTTACTTGTGCCATGTAAAGTGTCGTTGCCCCTAACTGTACACCTTCCAATGTTGAAGCGCATATCTTAGGTTTAAATGTTGTTTTAATGAGTGTTGTTGTTGTTCTGTTTGTAATTACGTGTTGTTCTGTATGCTAACGATGTAACTTCTCGTATAAGATACTCCGCGGATATTTCTTGCAAAGCAGCTGAATGCCACTCACCTGCGTCACCAAATAAAATGTAATTTAAAAATAAAAACTTTTTTTAGAATGTATTTACAGTTTTAAATACCCAATTTTAAAACTAGAATACACACCACATGCATTTTAACGTATTTACTTAACATACCATTTGCCCATATTACCTAACCAGTGAGGGTTTACTTATATGCTCAGAATATCCGTAATAAAGGTACAGCCCTGCAATTGCCTGTTGACACCCCTGCTGATGGAAGGACCTCCACTAGCGAGGGATCTTTTCGAGTGGCCGAGCAGAGGCGATCGTGGCCGAATCTGCCACGCAGGCCAGAGGCCTCGGAGTTAGCCACCCCGCCAGCAGCACCAACACACGTGGCCTGCCGCCGATCGACTCGCTGTGACGGGCAAATGTTGTGACTGCTGGGCGGGCAGAGGTGAGGGGGAGGATTTCATGTTGGACGCTCCCACGTGAGCGAACCACGCGGTGTCCAAGGGGTGTCAGGCGGGGCTGCCACTCGTCCAGACAACGTTGGGACCAGACAACTAAAACTGCTCAAAGCAAACTAAGCCGCTCTGTCGACAAATCAGTTTGGAGCGTGGGCTTCCATGAACATTGTATTTGAACTTGCATGAGAATATATTTACATGCGAAATGAATATTGAATTTTTCAGAATAAATATGGGGGTACAAATATTCCGAATATGAACTAATATTACGAAGTAATGGTTTCTAGGGCGATTATTGAACATTCCTTTCTGGACGAAGACATAAATTGTGGCTAACATATTCCGTGACAACATCACCACCACCAACTACCACCAAGAGCACAATGACCATCACCACCACCAACTACCACCACCACCACCAACTACCACCAACAGCACAATGACCATCACCACCATCACCACCACCAACTACCATCACCACCATCACCACCATCACCGCCACCAACTACCATCACCGCCATCACCACCATCATCACCGCCACTGCGGTATTGATTCGTGCGTGTCCCGTGGTGTAGGATGTACGACACACATTTGGAATTCTACCCAAGCGGCGATCCGGACCAAACATCGATTTTGACTCAAGACGGGGTTGGTGGCCACGCACACATCAACTAACTCCACCAAACGGGTGGCCGAGTCCTAGACTCGAACCCAGGACTCAGCGTTCTCAGTACCACGTCTCCCGACGCGGGCATTATGAGCTGCTTTAGCCACCCGGCCACGGACAGCACAAATGAATCGCGTGGATCAGCGGGGAGCGGTCGTGTAGCGGTTAGCACGCTGCACCACGAACCTGGCAACCAAATACAATTCGATTCCCGTTCACGGCCACCAACACCGTCAGTGACGATTATCTGAACCGGTCCTGGGCCTCCCCTACGTCGACTCAGCCTCAAGCGAGTACCTGCTGCAGTGTGTGAACATCGCCACTGGGGGGAGACAAAGGCGGCCGGGCGTGGTGTTGGTGCCGTGGGGGGGTGTGCGTGGTTATCGAGAAGTGGGCGGGGCCGAGAGAGGGGAGGGGCTTGGAGCCCAGCGCGTGGTGGCTGTGTGGTCGCGTCGCGGGCACCTCGATGGTCTGCCTGTTGTACACCTTGACCACGTGGAAGCTGAAGCTGTAGACGCCCTTGCGCGGCGCGGAGAAGGTGCCCGACTCCACGTCGAAGCTGTTGCCCATGTTCACGAGGATCTGCGCCGCACGCGGTGCACGCACAGCACACACAGCACACACAGCACACACACACAGCACACACGCACAGCACACACACACAGCACACACACACACAGCACACACAGCACACACACACAGCACACACGCACAGCACACACACAGCACACACACACAGCACACACACACACAGCACACACACACAGCACACACACACACAGCACACACACACAGACAATGGTTCTCCCGACAGTCTCTTCGGGCTTCCACAACACACAGCTCATCAGCGAGACCACCACCACCACACCACCCGGCTTCCACAACACACGACTCATCAGCGAGACCACCACCACCACACCACCCGGCTTCCACAACACACCACTCATCAGCGAGACCACCACCACACCACCTGGCTTCCACGACACACGGCTCATCAGCGAGACCACCACCACCACACACCATCCAGCTTCCACGACACACGGCTCATCAGCGAGCCCACCACCACCACACCACCGGCTTCCAATGTGGGAGGAAACCGGCGCATCTGAAGTGAACCCACGCGTGTGAGGGGGAGAGGGGGCAGCGCCACTCTATCCCACACAGAAGGGACAGGTAACATCCGTCCGCGTTTTTGCTGTGCCGCATTCTCCCGGCGAGCCAGGGCACCGCTCTTGCTCCACACGCACAGGAAGAGAGTCTGGCGGGATCTGTGTGTGACCCACCAACCTTCCCTGCAGAGGCGCCACATCCACACCCTGCTACGAGACCATGTTCTGGCCACGGGCACCTGCCCAGGTCCCACCATCTGAACGCTCCGACTCGACCTGAGCCATCCGCCCACCTCCTCCTCCACAACTCGCGGCGCTCCGAATATCCGGCACGCGCTCGTCACGAGCGGCTGCCTGGATTCGTGTCCGGGATCTCGACCCTGTCGACTGCGCTTGGGTATCAGCCCGCTGGGCTAGCCTGGAACACCCCACGATCTCGCGCCTTAACGGGCACTCACTTATCATCGTCATCATCATCATCGGCCGTGGTTAATCCACTGCTGGATGAAGCCCTCCCCCAATCTGCCACCATCTCTCACGATCCTGCGACGTCACTGTCCACCTGCACCTCCCTGCACACGACCTGCTCCCATGGGTCCCGTCACCCCCCAGGACGTCACCCCCCATAACGTCACCCCCCATGACGTCACCCCCCATGACGTCATCCCCCAGGACGTCACCCCCAGGCCTCACCCCCAGGACGTCACCCCCAGGACGTCACCCCCAGGACGTCATCCCCCAGACCGTCATCCCCCAGGACGTCACCCCCCAACACGTCATCCCCCATGACGTCACCCCCATGACGTCACCCCCAGGCCGCGCTGTGTCCTGCCCGAGCCCAGTATTCCCCACGGTGTCACGGGTGCCGTCACCCTGCGCGCCCTTCTCTCTGCCTCTCAGCGTCGCTACGAGCACAAGCACCACTCCGTGCCTCGCGTTGGTTCCCCTATGCCCCCCCCCCCCCCCCACGGCTTGCAGCTAAAGGTAATCGAGTGAAGAAGACGTTGGGGTCGATATCACCGTCACATTGCCCCCGCGGTTTCTACTGACAGTGCACATCGAGGACACCGCCTATCAGGGGAAATGCACGCACGGACAAGTGGCGATTCGGAGGGGGTCAGCAACTTGCGCGCTGCCACTTCTTGCCATCGAGCGCGCGAGCAAAGCCATCGTTGCGACTGTCGCACACAACTCCAATACCTTAAATTTCGATTTAAAGCTTTCGTGACTGCAGGGATCCATCTTCTTGGTTCTTTCGGTAAAGTCACGTAGAATGGAAATAATAAAATAAAAAAAATAAACCAATAAAATAATTCTGACGACGTTTCGGCCACAACGCAAGCAGCCGTCCTCAGGTCTGTCGAGAAGACAGCGTCTGAATGAGACTGTCGAGAAGACAGCGTCTGAATGAGACTCATTCAGACGCTGTCTTCTCGACAGACCTGCTCTCCACCTGAGGACGGCTGCTTGCGTTGTGGCCGAAACGTCGTGAGAATTATTTTATTATGTTTTATGTTTATTATTTTATTATTTCCATTCTACGTGACTTTACCGAAAGAACCAAGAAGATGAACGCCAATACCTTTCCGTGTCGCAGCGTCATGGACAAAACAACTCGCGGAATTCGCCAAAAACCGCAGTACACTGGTGCGATGTTCCACAAAAAATATTCAAGCAAGTTGCACCGCCGCGTGTCCCAGGTGGCGGCGGTTGCATTGACAGTCATGATGAATATATCTGTCCCTAATTTGCAATTGACTCGAGACCCAATTTTCACGTGAACAGATGAGCGTTACCCACGTGGGAAATCCGCCCAGTGAAGGTTCCCAGAGGACGAGTTTCGCGGAGGGAGCCGGATGGTTTTTAAATCGTGTTTCGAGGCGCATGAGACACGCACGCAAAGTGAGACGCACCCGAATGTTTTTGGGGGTTACGTTTTGATTAAAATAATAATAATACTGAAGTGTCGTTTAATAATCTGGAGAATACGGTGCCGTACTACGCCGAGCCGCCTTGCGGAAGATGATCACGATCGCGCTGTTTTAGAATCGGGAGAGAGACGTCTTCAGGATTATAAAAAGGCACCGCCAAATTTTGCTCAAAATATAGTGAGAGAGATGGGGAGAGGGAGGGAGGGAGGGAGGGGGGAGGGGGGAGCGCGTCTTATAATTAATAGAAGACGGTAAATCTGTACGTGATGAGATTTATCGCTAATGTCTATCAGTCGCAGGATTGACCCGAATTAATTTGTACAAAAACCGCTGTGGACTGATTGCAACCGGACAAATCCGGCCACAAATGGGTTTGAATTTTATCCAGATTATAACAAAATAAATGAGCAGACAATACACCTCATTCATCCATTTGTCTCTCTCATTGAAGCAAATTTCAAGTCGTTTTTACTCAACCCATCGCCCCACTGCCTTCTGGGAGTGCATCGCAGCAGCATTGATTCAGGACAAGCAAACTCTTGGATCGGTATCGATCGAGTATCTCATCAGCGGAGTCGGATCGATTTTGGTGAACTGCCAAATGTTATAGGCAGGGAACCTTTAAGATATCGGTCAAAGTTTGACTCAAAAATTGTATTATACGCTCCAGAAATCATTAGCGTTGTGCAGAATATAAGCTATGCGATACAAAAAGCAATGTCCCATTAATGTATCTGAAGGTTGAGTCGACCCGAGGGGAAACCCGAGAATAGCTCGAAACACCACTTGGCCGTGGCTGAGTCTCACAGCTGGTTCACAAATAAACAAAGACAAAGATCCCCCGTATAGCCTGCGCGTGATTTTTGGGCAAGTGCTGTTAGCGAGCACCTATGAAGGCGGACACGGCACACGAAATGGTGGGTGGCCTGGCCGCTTTTGTCTCCCCAGTGGCGATGTTTACAGCACCGCACCAGGTACTCATTTGAAGCTGAGTCGACCTAGGGGAGACCCAGGGCCGGTTCAGATAATCGTCACTGGTGTTGGTGGCCATGAGTGAGAATCAAATTTTGGTTGCCGGATTCATAGCGTAGCACGCTAACCAGGTAGAGAACAATACATATTTATATATTATTATTAAATATATAATATGCTTCATTAATATGATTCTATGGAAAGTTTAAAAGAACAAGCATTACCTTTTTTGTAAAAATTTGATCATCATGTAAACAGCATACACACTAAGTAGATGCAGAACCCTCCTTCTAAGGGGTGTTTGGCCTCCTCTCCCAGGCTGGCAAGAGAGACGTGTTGGCGTTGTAAGAAGTAGGAGTACCCACACTTTACCCCACCACACGCGGCCAGCCTGCGTACCAACTTACACTGGCGGGGGTAGGGGGGTGACAATCCGTTCAGGAGGTTTGGCAAACCTATTTGCTGCACTGCATCTGAGCCGAGTGCATCACACGCATTGTAAATCGTCGCTTGGTCCATCAACCCTAAAACACAATTAGTTTTACTTGACCAGGTAAGGCCCATCGAGGTATAATAGCTCTTAAACAAAAGCGAGCTGGCCACAAATGATGGCCCGGCGAAGTTGACTTGTCATCACGTGGAAATACATAGCAGCCAAATACTCGAAACACGTCTTGTTGATTCTTAACGTGGACAGAAAAACCGGAGAATCCCGGAGAAAAATCCACGCGACCACGGGGAGAGAGACACGCAAACTCCAAATATACAGCAGCAGGCGTCAGGGTCTGGATCGAACCCACGACCTCCTGTGTACCGAGAGAGGTAGTTAACATCTCCGGATCGCACGTCTGTAAGCCACGGCGTCTCGTTTTTTAACCAAGAATATCAAAGACACGACACACACCGAGGTCAAGAGGTCACCGTGGCCATCCTACTTGCCAGATCGCACAGCTCTTGACAAGTCAACAGCCGACATCATCGCCATCATCTGGCCGAACATTTTTTTTTCTCCCGCCGGAATACAAAGTCAACATAATCTTCCTGGACTGTCCCTTGCAGCCTCAAACACCAACCATTCGGCTTCGGAATTAAAGTGAATTATTGGGCGACGCTTCGTTGCCAGAGCTGCAAAAACACACACAACTCAGCACGTTCGTCGATAACGCTGCGTAAAATGTAAATAAAATGAAACGGTTGCTGAGTACAGGGCCCAGGGAGCCCAATGTTGAGGGTACGCTGCTTACGAGGTGACGTTGCTGCAGTTGAGCCAAGAGGTCGTGGAACTTGAGAAAGAAGCAACAACGCGAGGTGACTTCGCAGTGGAGCAGTGGGAGGGATGAAGCGGTGGCAAAAGTGCAGTGTGGTGGGTGGGGGGGTGAGTGGGTGGGTAAGTGGGTGAGTGAGTGTATGAGTGAGTGGGTGAGTGAATAGATGCGTGCATTTTTAAGTGACTGGGTGGATGAGTAGGTAGGTGGGTGGGTGAGTGGGTGTGGGTGGGTGTGGGTGGGTGGGTGAGTGGGTGGGTTCGTAGGTGGGTGGGTGAGTGAGTGAGTGGGTGGGTGAGTGGGTG